AACAAGGGGAGTATAACACCTTTCCAGTTGTTTGTGTCTGGAATGTCCTTGCAGTCCCCTGCAAGTAGAGCCTATTCTTAGGTCCCTGGAATCTGAGAGAACACTGTTGATTTAAATATGCAAAATAGTCAAACCACTTGTAAACATTCAAAATGGCTGTGCCCTCTGGACAGCCAAAAGTCCACAGCTCAGCCCTACTCCCTCTTCGCTGCTTTCCCTTTTTTCACAGCCAGCAGTGCAGTCCTCTGTGCAGTCCCAGGCTAGGAGGGCTGATTTTTAGGTTCATTCTTAGGTCCTAATGGTGGCATAGTACCTAAGGCGTTTGACTGCTAACGAGATTGCTGTCAGTTCAAACCTACCAACCACTCCTCAGAAGGAAGACTGGGCAATCTACTTCCATAGAGATGCTGCCTTGGAAACCCATGGGTGGGTTGCTATGAGTTGCAATTGACTCAACAGCAGTGAGTTTTGTTTTGTTTTTTTTAAACAGCACTTGGGAATATTCAAACTGTCCATGCAGCCAGGATCACTAACAGACCTCAGCTCTACTCTGTATGTCTTCTTTTTCGGTGTTTTCATACAGATTCTTCTAGTTGGAGTTCAGTTCACTTCTGTATCCTTCCTGTCAAAGCTCATGGGTCCTGGATTATCTTCTGTATCTATGTTAATTGGTTCGCCTTTCTTTGTTGAAGAGGGTCTGTGTAGTTTGTCTGCCTATTCCTCCATCTTACCAGAACTCTTAGAGCAAATGTTTTCCATTTGACACTTAATAGACTTTTTGTTCCATGACTTTGATTGCAGTCCCCATAAACTAACAGCTGTCTTTCCGCTTCCTCCCTTCAGTTACCTTTTCCCTGTGCCTTTCTTTCCTATATATTCCTGCCCTCTGAGCTTTCTCCCTTTGCAAATGCTGCCGTTTTGATCTCCCATGGTTGATTGTTCTAAGGAGTGTACCTGCCTGGTCTAATTGTTCACCTCATAGGCTAACTCTAGAATTTTTGCACATTTCATTATAGTACTTTACTTTGTCTTCTCAGGCTGCCTTTTGAAATCTTCTGTTCAGCTCTTTTTACGTCCTATCTCTTCCATTTGCTTTAGCTTCTCTCCGTTTAAGATCAGGGAGCTCTGGTGGCATAGTGCTTAAGGCATTTGATTGCTAACCAGGAGGCTGGTGGTTCAAACCCACAAGCCACTCCTCAGAAGGAAGACTGGGCAATCTACTTCCACTAGATACTCCCTCTGAAACCCAAGGGGGGTCACTGTGAGTTGCAACTGACTTGATGGCAGTAAGTTTGTTTTTTTGTGTTTGCTTTTGTTCAGGACCAGGTTTCAGAGTCTCTAGTGACATCCATTTTGGTCTTTCTTTCCTGTCTTTTTGATAACCTTTTACTTTTTCTGTGTACGATGTCCTTGATGCCATCCCACAACATCTCTGGTCTTTGGTCCTTGGTGGTCAGTGAGTCAAACCTGTTCTTCAGATATCTCCTAATTCAAGTGGGATATACTCAAAATCTTATTTTGGCTCTCATGGACTTGTGCAGTGCTTATATATGTATTTTTTTTCCTATTTTATTTCTCAGGTTTCCATTAAAATAATTACATCATTTTTTAAATTAATATATTAATATAATTACTTATATTCTCATTCATTTGGTTTAATTTAGTAAGTAGTAATTAATGTAATAGGTGATGGATTGAATTTTCTTATATCTTCCATATATAACCTACTCACTTCTTGTGGTTTTTAAATCTCTTAGAAAGGCCCTGTCAATCTGGCTGAGATTTTTTATTGTCCCCTTGTTTAAAAAAGTAATGCTTCTACTTAATGGGAATGAAGGAAAGAGTGAGATAACACTACTTGTAAAATAAATGTATTTTAATACTTTTGAATAGTTTATACTTTGTTTCTACTTTTAATGAGACAATTGATAGTTTATAACACTCTCAAAAGATTTTGTATTTTTCACCAAAATTTTACATGGTAGAATTCATTAGATGGAAAACCTCAAAAGAAGAAATGCTTTACTAGAGTTAGAATCATCTAGTTGTTCTGGTCCCATAGTCATATTGGCTGAGGCTCGCGTGGTGTACCAGTTGTTTCCATTTCTCTGCCTCTTTTTGATAAAATCATTTCATTCACGGTTTTTTTTTTTTTGTTGTTGTTGTTGTTGTTTTGGTGAAGTCTAGTTTTCCTGTTTTTTTTCTTTTGGTGTCATATCTAAGAATCCCTTGTCCAAAACAAGGTCTTGAAACTTTACCCTTATGCTTTCTTGTAAGAGTTTTAAGTTCTTGTATTTAACCCATTAATCCATTTTGTATAATGGATAATCATAATTTTGTATTTGGTGTGTGGTATTGGTTCAACTTTATTCTTTTGCATTTGGAGATGCAGTTACATCAGCACCACTTACTGAAGGGTTCTTTTCCCATTGAATAGACTTAGCACCCTTGTCCAAAATCAACTGGCCATAGAGTTATAAACTCTCAATTCTATTGCATTGATCTTTACATCTTTCCTTATACTAATACCACATTGTTTTGATTATTGTAGCTTTATAGTGCATTTTAAAACTGGTAGTATGAGTCCTCTTACTTTTTTCTTGTTTTTCAAGAGTGTTTTGGCTATTCAGGGCCTATCACAATTCTGTATAAATTTGAGAATTAGCTTTCCTATTTCTGCAAAAAAGGCTGTTGAATTTTGGTGGATCAGGATTGTGTTGAATCTTTAGGATTTTTTGCATAGCATTGACATCTTCACAGTGTTAAGTCTTTGAAGCCATGAATACAGGATGTCTTTCCATTTATTTTATGTTGTTGCTGTTCAGTTGGCTACGAGTCATGGTGACACTGTGTACAAAAGAATGAAACATTGTCTACTCTGCCATCTTCATTATTATTGGTATCCTTGAGTGTATTATTGCGCCCACTGTGTATTTTGAATGCCGTCCAACCTGAGGAGCTCATCTTCTGGCACTACATTGAAGAATTTTTTTTTTTTTAACTTTTTATTGTGATTTGGGTGAAGGTTTACAGAGCAAATCATTTTTCCATTCAACAATTCATATACATTTTGTTTCATGCCATTGTCTGTCTCCCCACAATGTAACATCATTCATCCCACTTCTTCCCTGTGGTTCCCATTTTCATTCGTCCTCCTTTCTTAGCCCTTCTTGCCTTCAGAACTTTTTGTCCTTGGGCAAATGTTGCCCTTTTGATCTTGAGTGGTTGATTGTTCTGAGGAGTGTGTACATCCCTAGTGTTATTGTTCACTTATAGGGCTGTCTTTTTGGCTGAAAGTTGAGCCACAGGGGTGAGTTCAGTTCTAGGCTTGAAGGATGACTAAGGGCCATAGTCTTGGGGGTTCTACCAGTCTCTGTGTGAACAGTGAGCCTGGTCTTTTATTATAATTCTGAGTTTTGTTCCACATTTTTCATGCACTCTATCCAGGACCTTCTAATGTGGTCTCTTTCAAAGTGATTGATAGTGGTAGCTGGGCACCATCTAGTTCTTCTGGTCTTAGGGTTGTGGAGGCTAAGGTTTACGTGGTTCGTTAGTCTTTTGGACTAATTGTTTCCTTGCGTCTTTGATTTCTTTCACTCTTCTTTGCTCTGAACTGAGAGAGAGCAATAGTTGCACCTTAGATAGCCACTCACAAGCTTTTAAGACCGCATTTGCTACTCACCAAGGCAGGATGTAGACAATTTTTTTGTGGACTATGTTGTGCCAGTTGATATTGATAGCACCTGAGACTGGTCCTGAGACCCTAGGCCCAGTGACTCATGCACACAAATATTTGGTTATGGCTAAAAAGTTTTCACAACTCTGCCCCCTGTAGGCTCTGCTATATTCATGGATATGTTTACAGAATATGTAGAAGTGTCCTTGTCAAACCTATATGTATTTGTGGGTGTATTACTGTTCTTCCTGTACCTGTTCAGCTCACGTACCTGTCTATGTAGATTATTGTTATTACTGTTACTGCATGATTGTGTATGTAATGGTGATGTAATGGTATTTATCTCTGTTGCCTCTAACTCTTGTGTTCCTCCCACCGTCTTCCCTTGCCTTGATCATTTTGTGCTGACCTCTCCCCTTATTATATATTGCCTTCCCCTTCACCCAAGTTAATGTGTGTCTATTCTCTAGTTAGTGGTTTACCCTCTCTTCCCCTGCCATCCCTGGCAACCATCAAAGAATGTTTTTTCCTGTGTGAAAATTTTCTTGCCTTTATAATAGTGGTCTCATACAATATTTATCCTTTTGTGATTGACTGATTTCATTTGGCGTAATATCTTCAAGTTCATTCATGTTATGAGGTGTTTTGCAAATTCATCATTATTTAACATTGCATAGTATTTATTCCATTGTGTTATGTATCATAGTTTGTTTATCCATTCATCCATTGACAGGCATTTAGGTTGTTTCTACCTTTTTGCAGTTGTGAATAATGCTATGATGAAAATAGGTGTGCATATTCATGTCACAGCTCTTATACAGGTTATATATATAGTTATGTGCTAGATCATAAGGTGTTTCTACTTATTGGACAGTATTCTTTTGTGATCCATAGGATTTCATTAGCTAATTTTTGGAAGTAGATCGTTAGGCATTTCGTCCTAGTTTGTCTAACTCTGGAAGATGTGCCAAAACCTGTCCATTATGGGTGATTCTACTGGTATTTGAAATACCAGTGTATGTACCTTCAGTATCTTTACAACATACAAGCCACCACAGTAGGACAAACTGACAGGTAATAGTTCATTTATTTATATTTCCTTTAATTTATTTCAGCAATGTTTTATAGTTTTCAGTGTGTTAAGTCTTTGACCTCCCTAGTTAAATTTATACTAGATATTTTATTCTTTTAGATGGTATTATAATGGAGATGTTTTCTTGATTTCCTTTTAAGATTGTCCATTACTAGTGTATAGAAGTACCCCTGACTTTTGTGTGTTGATCTTGTTCTGTACATATAATTGTGTTTCAAACTTCATTTCCAGATCACAGTAATGGATCATTTAACTTGAAAGCTCTCTCAGGAAGTGCTGGATATAAGTTTGGAGTTCTTGCTAAGATTGTGAATTATATGAAGGTAAGTAGTTTTCTCAACAAAAATCCTATTTAACTTTATGGCAAAACTAAGGAATTTTGAGAAGTTAAATTCTTATATAAACCCATTGCCATTGAGTTGATTGTGATTCACAATGACTCTGTAGTACAGAGTAGAACTGCCCCATAGGGTTTCTAAGGCTATAAATTTTTGTAGGGAGCTCTGGTGACATAGTGCCTAAGGCATTTGACTGCTAATCAGAAGGCTGGCAGTTCAAACCCAGCAGCCACTCCTTGGAGGGAAGGTTGGGCAATCTACTTCCACAGAGACACTGCCTCGGAAACCCAAGGAGGGGTTGCTATGAGTTGAATCGACTGGATGGCAGTGAGTTTTGTTTGGTTTTTGGAAGTTTTTATAAAGACTGCCATGTCTTTCTCTCACAGAGCAGCTAGTGAGTTCAAACTGCTGACCTTTTGATTAGAAGCCAGTTTCTTTAACCACTGTACCACTCCTACTAATTTGTATGTTGTTGTTGTTATGTGCCATTGGGTGGGACTCGAGTCATAGTGACCCGTCCTTGGGTTTCCGAGGCAATATCACTATACAAGTAGATTGCCCAACCTTCCTTTCGAGGAGTGACTGGTGGGTTTGAACCGCTAGCCTCCTGGTTAGCAGTCAAGTGCCTTAGGCACTGTGCTATCAGAGCTCCCCCTAATTTGTATATATGTGTCAAAATTTATCAATTCATACATTTTCAGTATGTACAGTTTATTGTAGGAGCTCTGGTAGCATAGTGCCTAAGGCACTTAACTGCTAACCAGAAGGCTGGTGGTTCAAACACACCAGCCACTCCTTGGAAGGAAGACTGGGCAATCTACTTCTGTAGTGATGCTGCCTCGGCAACCCAAGGAGGGGTCATTATAAGTCAGGCCGATCGATGGTACATAACAACAACAACAACAACAGTTTATTGTATGTTAATTTGCCTGAATAAAGCAGTAAAACATATTTAAATACTTTAAGTCTTGGACATTTTTATTCAGTTAGTATTACAGTGAGTCATTTAAGTATATTTAATTTACTTTAATTCAAGTACACAATTTAAACCACTATTTCATTAATAAGCATGTGCCCCTGGAAGTAGATACAGTCATCTCTCGGTCAATACCTGATAGCAAAACCCGTAAGAAGATGTGAATGATTTTCAGGATGAAAACTATGTAGTTCAAGTTGATCTTTTAATGACCACTCTGGATCTTGGAGGAGAAAATTAGATAATCACTTAAGGGACTTAAAAAATCATTGGCTCACAAAAGGGGTTTGGTGAAGTCTTGTTTTTTTTTAAAACACTTTTTGATAAGAGATTGTGACTTTACAGAAGACTTTAAATCTTAGCTCCAAACAAGATACAATACTGTTGTACTTCATTTTTAAAGTGATAATTTATAACTAAGATATATACATGATTTCAAATTTGCCACCATCTTTTGCCAAATTCTTATTCTCATTTAGTTACTAGTTGCTTGTCTTGAAAAAAGTCAAAGAAAGAATTATTATTTTTTTTAAATTTCAGCTGTCTTTTTATTTCTTAAAATACAGATTAAATTTTCAGCTATGCTAAATCTTTTCTTTTTAATTTAAGAGACTTAGTGCGTGACTATGTCTGGATTCTGTGTTTCTTAATTGATTTTTGGTGGAAATCTTATTAGTTTATAATTTTCATTATCAAATAATATACTTTGACACTAGTGCATTCACCATTTATTTATTCCATGTAACCATTCCTCCATGCAGTAAACAGTTATTAAGGGTAATGTTTTTGCTTCTCTCCTAATACAGTCTTTACTTATCTAGGTAACTCCTACGGTTTTGTCTTTCTACCAGTGCAATTTGAAATATTTTGCTCACGTACCCTTGAAACAATTTTGAGAAACTTTGTTTCCTTGTACACATACTTAAATTGATAATTACAGCATTTCAGCAAAAGTTTCATTATAAAGGATGGAACTTCTGGCATATTATAATACTGTAGTAGAATACATTAATTAGCTTTTTCAGTATATCAATTGGGATGTAAATGACATAATTAATTCTAAAATATACAATTACACTTTTCTTTAACATTTGGAAATTTCAGTAATTTTTTTCTTTGAACTTGTATGTCCATTGTATTACTCTCACTGATATTTACCCAGATGTTATGTATTTTTATACTTAAAAATATTTTATTGATCATCAAACTTCTCTGCCACAATAATATGCATATAAATTGAAATTATTATTGTTATTTTGCCTTATAGCCTTAAAGCCCTAAGTGTTAAAAATGTTTTCTGAATTATCATTATAATTATTACATAGTTGATCACAACAACATACATATATTAAATTCTTACTAAATTTCACTTTCTTTGTAGTAATTATTCAACAGAAATCCATCTTTTAATGAAACAAATGGAGCTGTCTCCTCTCTTCTCCCCAATGATTCTTGTATCTGAAGATGCACATTACTTATTGATAGAATAAAATAGGATTTGGCATCCATGATGCTCTTATTTGTAGATGTTATAGGTATAAGTGCTGAGAAATAAATGTTTATATAAATAAACTGATCCTAATGGAAGTTGATATCAGTTTGTTATAGCAAAATCTTTTAGCTTATATGCCAAAAATCACTTAGTGACCTATCATCAAGCATTCATCAGTTGACAGTTTTATTAGGTCCTTCTTCAGTTTTGTCAAGCAAAGAATAGGGCCCATCTGACTTGCCGAGGAATGTGTTAACTGGCTATTCAACCATTTACTTTCTCACTTTCTGGAAAGTATATCAAAAGTTTTACGAAGACTTACTGCATGTCTAATAATTATGCCAGTTCCCTCACCTTTCTCCTATAGGCACTTTCTTTAATCTGGTGTACTCAGATATGGTTGAGAAAATAAAATTATTAATAATTTTTATACAGTTTTGCCAATGCATTATTATTATTATTTTGCCATAAAGCTTTTTTTTAAAAAAATCTTATTATGTATTTTAGATATATTTTTATCAACTTTCAGGCTGCATTTTCAGCTTACTTATGTAAAGTGTCTCCCATGCTACCTGGTTTAATAAACCAGTCTCCACCATGAAATGAGTTGGGCATATCAAACTTACTTTCAATCATAAAACATCTTTTACTTTTAAATTCAAATAAACATGTTAATACATATTTTAGGAATTATAAAAACCACTGAGAAGTAAATTATAGAACACATAAGACGTTACTAACTTTGCTAAAGCTTTTCTTTTTAATTTAAGAGAGTTGGTAGTTGAGGTTAAAATTACATGGATCAAATAGAATTAATTTATCTTTTTTAGTAATTAAAACTATGCTGCTTATTTTAAATTAAGTAATAAAATATGAAATGAGGATATGATAAAACATGTTACTTCTTTGTAAAATGTATGTGCCTATATCTTTTGATCTCTGATCCTCATCTTTTAGGAAAAATTGAAAGGAAATGATTCAAACAACTCCATACATGTTATTTGGGATTATTTAATGTAAGAGAAAAATAAATACCGCTAAAAACTAATTGGTCTTATTGCTGGTATATAACTTATTTTTTGTTAATACAAGTAGAAAATACTGAACAGTTTCAAAGATGTAATAAGATTTGACTCTAATTAAATTAAAAATTTCATGATACGATTTGATCAAATAGACTTTAATTACCATATTGAAGAGTACGTACTCAATCTAGAATAGTTTATATACGGTTTTTATCTGGATTTTAAGTAGCCTAATTTGATGATTTGGTAATCCTGGAACATATTTTTGTTATATATAAATAATCAGCTTCCTTAACTGCTACTACTTTAGCTCTTTAAACGTTCTTTTCCTTCAGGCTAGTAACTATTCAAGGAATGAGTTTTGAGAATTGCTGAGGCAAATTACTTACATTTAAGTACCTGAAAGAAATCCATTTTTTATCATTAGGCAGTTCTTATCAACACTCCCTTAGCTTTGTTCTTTTCTTTTTTCTTTTTAACTTTTTATTGTGTTTTCGGTGCATTTTTTTTTTTTAATTTTATTTTTATTTGGGTGAAGATTTACAGAGTAAATTCACTTTTCATACAGCAGTTCACATATACTTTGTCTCATGTCATTGACCAAAATTTACAATGCAACACCTTAGCTTTGTTCTTTCCAGATTTTCCTAAGAATAGTGCATTCTTGGACAGTAGGGGGTTGCGTGAGTGGGGGATGGAAAACACAAATCATTTAAAGAAAAATTAGTCTTAATTCCAGTGCCAAAGTTTGATATGTCAGAATCTGTAATGTCAGACTAGGAACCAGAATATTTTATTTCTAACTCTTAACAGACGAATATGTGAGATTGGAAAAGATAAGAAACCCGTGTAGTGGACAAGTATGTGGCACTTGGTATTTGTTTAACTTGTCTTTTTGTTTGGATCCCTGGAGGTTATTATACCTCTAGAAAAGGCATCACAAATTCTGGATGGAGGTGAGGTTGTATCTTTTTAATTTTAATTTTTGCTTTGTAAAGAGGGTGAGAGCTTTGAAAGGGAGAGTACACGTGAAAGGTGATCTATTAAAATGATTTTTGAAAAATCTTTGTGTATTCTTTTGGAAAATTTAAAAAATTAAAACCAAGAACTTAGAAAGAAAATAAAAAAGGAAAAAAAAAGCCAATAAAGTTCGTTACAGTTAATTAATTTACTTACAGAGGAACACTTTAATTGTTCAATGAGAAGTTATATTTAGAAATTTTATGGAGAAAATTCAAAGAGTATTGTTTGAGACAGGTACACTGAGATTTGTATCAAGTGGCAACTTTGGAGAAAGTACTAACAGGAAAAAAAAGGACAGATATAAGAACTTGATAATGTTGAAAACTTTTGGCACAGCTACAAGACACTCAGTTCATCTCACCAGTTCCTGAGATGGTTATTGTTATACCACAGCTCAGTGATTTACATTGTAATACTATCTGAGACATCAAAGAAGATTGAAAAAGATTAAAAAGATTTAAAAAAGTCA